ACTAATGACGGCATAGCAGACGTGACACTTGGATGCCCCAAGGTGGACCAGTCAGGGAGAAGGCATGCGCCCGTGCGCACCAAATTGCGTGGATTGTGGGGGGGGGTCTCGGGCGGTTCGCTCGCTTGGCGATTCCGACTCCTCATTTTTGAACGACCCATGATCACTCGATTCAGGACAGGATGCAGATCACCTGGGCACTCCAATGGGGAGCCACCACGTTGTGTTGCACTTGCCTGTTCGCGCCAAACCTGCGGCGATGTCCAAAGCAACTCCTCTCCGTTCAACAAAAAGCAATGACTACCGCGATATAGGCGGCAAACCACGTGCGCACCCCGACGGGGAGCCGCCAGGGGGTCTACACTTGCCACTTAGCGTCCAAATCGTGGGACCTTTCATGCGTAACGCTGTTTTGGGATCCTGTGGCCCCTCTCCCTTTAGCGTCGCAAGACCATCTCCATGTAACATGCATTTTACTTTGGCCATCCAGTGAGGGGGGCGCCAAGAAGCGGTTCGTCGCCAAAGGCTACGATTCCCTCGCCCAGACACTCGCAGACGGTCGCACCAAGAACTGAGATGAACATGTGGGGGACCCCACGTCGAATAAGTACTATTGTTCCGCTTCCTCCTCCCCCCATCCTCAACTTATAACGCATCTATAGCTTGACGGGGCCAAGGGGCGCTGTTGAACACAAATCAATCAAAAACGGCCCATTAGGACACATGGGATCTTACTGCGATGCCCACCGCAAGAACATGCCGTACAAGCCCAAGCATTAGGAACTTGCCCGTGGAAGCGACTACTTCTACAGCTTCAACGAGCAAAACTGTTCCATATTTCACTGTTGCTGGCACCTGCAATCTCCGCCACTTTCAGCGAAGTGCCCACAACAATGGCAGAAACAGTGTGGCTATTGTAATCAAGCTTGGGGTCACCATCACGCATGATGCATGATGCGTTCTGTGTAGTACGCGCGAGGCCGTGCCACTATAACCATGGCCAACGCCGATTGCACATTCGAGCCAAACCGTTCGCAACACCGCATTTTCTTGGATCCCAAAACGTGCAACCAACGCACGCATGCAAGACGCGTCATGGATAACAAGCCTGATATCAATGTGATTACGCCTACGCCACTGCTTGAAGACCACCAGCGGAGCTCCGCTATCGAACCTGCCCCAGAGTGATAAGGGGGCAGGAGAATCCTGGGCGAATCGAACACCTCCGCAGATCAAAGGCAGATGACAGCGCTGGTCATCCCCGCGGGGAGCAAACAAGATCCCGTGCGGGCTCTTTTTTTCCAGAGCGCTGCTTGTGGCGACCACGGGCGACGCTTTACATCCCAGACCTGTCCTTAAACAAGACCCCACGCATAACGCTGGAATTGTGAACACTCGTTTCCGCTGCAACCTAAGACCTTCGAAGCCGAAGGGCATGCGGAAGAAATGGAACGCCGACCCCAAGGCCAGAGTATCACACACAACATGGCAGAACCAGAAGAAGTGTCACAAGGCCTGCGCCCGCAGAAGGCGAAGGGCAACTGCGATACGAGACGATACGACAAAGCACAATTTCTCATGATTAGCCTGTTCCTTGCTGGCGAGGAACCCCCCCCCTTACACCGACCGGCACATCCAAGTGGTCATGCCGCTACCACCAGAATCTCACCATCTCCCGATCAACACATATACTTTGAAAACACCAGGATTCGATACTTGAAGGCGGAGAACGTCATCTTGGCGCGGGCCTGCCGGGGAGCCCAAAAGGCACACAGTCGACGCTGGATTCGCGACAGGCGCCGGGAGAGAAAATCGGGAGGACGGGAGATGTCGGGAGGAAGGATTGAATAGCTGGGAAAACCACGATGCGCAAGCCTGGAAAAATACTACTGCGTCTAGCAATCGCGTGGCCCTCCTGGGAGATCTTGCGATCGGGGGAATGGAGGACTGGGGGGCCGCGAGAATGCCGCGCGCTTCGCAATCGACGAAGCACCTTTGACAGCGCCGGCGCCCAGCGCGCATGACGCATGGCCGCCGCATTCGCGCACTTGGTCCATCACCACAGTGCTTGAACTATGTCATCAGTCAGAACGTCGCGGTGAGGCCCGCGGTGGGCGTCGATGCAAATCGCGCGAGCGCACAGGCGGAGAGGCCTTCCCCCGAGTGGCCCGAGTCAACCGAACAAATATCAACACGCGTGGCGAAGGGCGCGCAACGAGCAACGCGCGAGCCAACCGCCGCGCCACGCGCGGCGAAGGGCGCGCAACGCGCAACGCGCGAGCCAACCGCCGCGCCACGCGCGGCGAAGGGCGCGAGGCCCTTGGAGACGAGCTGGCCCTGCTTCGCCCCGACGGCCTGCGGCAAACAGCCGAGCGGCAGCGCGCTGCGCTGCGGAGGCCGCGCCAACGCCCATAGCCCGACGCCCGCGCAGCTGAACCTCCGGAAAAGAACGCGCGCGCGCGCGAGTCTGTTGCCGCCGCAACGCGAAGCGCAGAGGAGCGGCTCGACGCAGAAGGCCTCCAGCCTCTCCACGGCCGGCTGGCTGGCCCCTGACCTCTCGCACCTGGGCCGGCGGCCGCGAGGTCCGACGCGAGCCCCGGCGCAGGCGCCCAGGAATTGCCCGCCACTGGCCGCCACTCGCCCCGAGAGGCCCGAGAGCGCACCGGATGAAGCCGTTGACCCCAGTGGCCTGGGCTCTGATCCCCACGCTCCTCAGCTCCAGATTCCGCTCCCTGCCCGCGAACTAGCGTCGCCCATGGGCGGGGGGGGGGCTGCGCCTCCCCCCGCCAGCCCAAAGCGCAAAGCCGTCGAAGCGTACCTTACCAGCCTCGAACGTATCCCTACCCCTGAGATTGACACGCCAATAGGCGATGACAATCTTAGGGATTCGCCCTCAAAAAATAAGGGAATCCCTAAGATTGGCATCGTGATGAGGAGGTGCCCAGAATAGGGATAGGGATTTGTTCCAGGCTGATAAGTACCCCTGCGGAGTGACCAAACATCGCCTAAGAGCAGGCCAGGGGGGGGCCGTGGGGGAGCGCGCCGCGGGAATGAGCGGCCGCCCGAAAAACTTCCTGAATCGCGAGAGGGGGGCATCAACTGGCACTGAAACTCGCAGATGCACAGGACAAGTGCCGGCTAGAGGAAGGCGATGAGAAACACCACTTCCAGACCGGCGGTCAATGCAGTAATTAGGGGACCAAACATATCCATCCATATTCTGCCCTGAACGCGAAAACACAACAGAGCAAACAGCGGATGCAGAGCACGAAGATCATTACCGTGGGTGGAACACAAACATAACCATACCACGATTAAGTTCTTCATGTTCCCCGCGAATGTATCACCACTTATGTCACACAAGTGCATGAACCAATCAGCAAAAAACCGCGCCTGATGATAGTCCTGCAGCCACGACACCATAGTCACAACAATAACAGTGATAACATCAACAACAGCAACAACATCACCACCAACAACAACACAAACGCCACAACAGCACCAACAATAACAACAACAGCGAACACGACAACGACAACGACAACAACAACAACAACAACAACAACAACAACAACAACAACAACAACAACATCAACAACAACAACATCAACAACACCAACACCAACAACAACACCAACGACAACGGCAGCAACAACAACACAACAAACACCACAATCACGAGTGCCACAACAAACGGCACCCCGTGAACACAAAGCCTTGCCACTGACACAACCACACACCATATGCGAACATGCTTGGTCAAAAACGATTGCGGATCATAATGTGTAGCTCTCGGAAATTTGCTCCAGCCTCCACTTCCTCTCCTCTTTCCTGGGAGCGGGAGGGGGTGAGGGAGGCGGTGGTGGTGTATATTTGCGGGCCCCGCACTTTCGGAGCTCCGCGCGGATTTCTTGGATCTGAGCTTACCCCCCTCCCTGGCGCGCGGAACGCGACAAGGGCGGCGCCGAAGGCGCGCCGCTAGGGGGGCGGAGCGCCGATTATTTGATGTATGTGGTGGCGGCATCCGAACGCTATCCCCACTAACCATCGATTCTCCCGCATCGATGGAAGGCGGGGGCAGGGTTCGGATTTCACCACGTGTTCGACGAATTCCGAACCCCACCCCTGCCGCCCGTCGAGTTCCCTGAATCGTGGATCGGCGAGGGTAGGGTTCGGATTTCGCCGCCGATGTATGCCCGTTTTCTTTTCTTTGAACTCTTGGAATCATTTTTCCGCGGCAATGACCGGCGTGATGGAGAGGGGGGGCGCGGGGGGAGGGGCATGACGTAACGCCTCCACCCACCACAGTGACAGAAGGTGGTGCCGAACGCACTGCGGCAGTGCCGGGGACGAACCAGGGGGGAGGGCGTCGTGTTAGGGAGGCGGGGGAGGGAGGGCAGTCCCCGACACCCCCGGACGTCATGTGTTTTTCGTGACGTGGACCCCGAGGGGTCTCGACCCATTCCCCGAGACTAGTTTTTCATCCCGAGTCGTGTTTTGACGGTCCCAAAGCCCTGTGAGGGCTCCTAGAGGCCGCAAACAGCCAAAACTAACAAAACCGCTGTCCTTTCCACGGAGGGAAAGGGGGTGGGCATAACGCGCGTCAAAAACACTCTCCTGCGCACAGTCGGACCTAGGCCAGAGGAACATCCTTCAAGAACATGAGCCAACAAAAACACAGAACATCCTGGGGCACCCTCCACAGGATGCACCAGAACATCCCACGAGAACGAACAACGGGATGGCATCCTCCCCGAACCGACCTCGAGCTCGTACCTCGGTCCGACCGTTTTTGGGCGTGGCTCAATGGGGGGGTCGTTAATGGGGGGGTCAGAAATGGTCCCCGTTCGTGCCCCTTTCGGGCCCCTCCAGAGCCCCAGGGGGCTCGTTTAGGTACCATTTGGGTACCTTTTCGGACCACACTCGCCGCCCCCCCATTTATGATCCCCCATTACGCAGCGCCCAAACCGTACTCGCGTCGCGGCGGCCGGGCGTGGATCTCAGAGAGGGGCGCCGCTTTCCCAGCGCCGACGCCTGCATTCGGGCCGCGCTGGCGGTGCTCGGCAGGCGGGGCGCGCGGGGGCGTCACGGGAACGGGTCCTGCCGGCAGGAGCGGCACGGGTGTGGAGAGAAGGGGTGCGAAGACCGACTCGAGCCGTGAAGAAATCACGACGGTAGGTGCTCGGCAATCTTCGGCCTCGGGGATCCCTGGCCGGGCCTCGGGACAGTCAAGAAACGGCTCAGGATGGAACGCTGCGCCCGGAGAGTGGGTCGGGACCTGGGGGGGCGCCTGGGCTTCCTGTCCACGTTGAACCCGGACTCGCTGTCGGTATCGCTGCGGGCGTTGTCCGCTTGAGACAGAAGGCCGCCTGCCCGACAGCGGCCGCGGTCGGTTTTGGACGACACGTGCTGTTGGACGCCCCGCGAGGTCGGGGGCGCGCTAAGCTGAGGCCTTTGACCCGCTGCTGCGCTGCGCGGGACGCCCGGCGGGCGGGCCGCGCCCCCCTCCCCCCTTCCTTCCTTTCCCCTCTCTCCCCTCCCCCCTCCTTCCTTCCTTCCTTCCGCCATTTTTCTTTTTGTTGTTACCTCTTCGTTCCTGCCCCCTTCCTTCCCCCCCTTCCTTCCACCTTTTTTTTTTGTTCTCTCTCTCTCTCTCTCTCCTCCGGGGACTCCGTCGCGTTCGCTCTTCGTCGTCGCTTCTCTTTCTCTTGCCACAGGGCTCCCTCTCGACCGGCAGAAGAGTGCTGCTGGGCGCCGTGCCAGTTCTCCCGTACCCGTTTCGGGCGTCCAGATCCTTGCTGTTCGCGTAGTTCTCGCGCAGCTCCCGAAGCCAGTCCGGCTCCCGCCGCCCCTTGCTCGGGCGCGCGCGAGCGCAGGCGGGTGCGGGGGCCACTGAGGGGAGGCCTCCTAGGGTGGCAAGACGGGGGTCTCTGCGGAAGGCCCTCCTGCACGCCTGGCTCTTCGGCACGCCTGGCTCTTCGGCACGCCCAGGGCGACCTCCGTGGCCTCCGTGTGGCTCCCTCGGCCCCTGGCCCCTCCGGCCGCCCCGCGCCTCCTCGCGCCACCCGCCCGCAAGGGCCATGCGCTGGGGGCCCGACCGCGGGAAACCCGCCCGCAGGAGACCCCGCCCCCGGGACCCCGGGACGTCCGCTGCTCCCCGGCGAGGGCACCCTGGAGGCGAGGAGGATGAGGAGGAGGAGGAGGAGGGAGGAGGAGGAGGAGGGGAGGAGGAGGAGGAGGAGGAGGAGGAGGGGCGCGTCCTGGCACGGGCCCCCGCTGTGCCCGCACCCCGGGCGCGCTCCGCCGCTGCTCCACCGCAGGCCTGCTGCGCCTGCGGCCGCGGGCCCCCAGGAGAAAGCGTCGGGGGATTAAGCCCTCCCGCAGCCGAGGGGCAGGAGCCCCTCCTCCTCCTCCTCCTCCTCCTCCTCCTCCTCCTCCTCCTCCTCCTCCTCCTCCTCCTCCTCTTGCACGCGGGTCGATTCGCGGCGCCGTGCCCCGGTCTCGCCCCCGGGCGCGGGTGCGCACCGCCCTCTGCCCTGTTGGCGGCGCGCAGAGGGGGGGAGGGGGAGGGGGGAAGGCCTCTCAGAAGCACCCCTGCTTCTTAGAAGGCGCGGGCCTTCTCTGTAGACGCGAGGCCGAGGCCTTCTGAGAAGCAGGGGTGCTTCTGAGAAGCCTTCCCCCCTCCCCCTACCCCCTTTTGCGCGCCGCCAGCCCTGGCAGGCGGCAGCTCCTGGGAGGCCCTCGCGGGATCGGTGGAGGGGCACGGAGCCCGACGAGAGGGCCACGGAGCTGGCTAGAGCCCCACGAAAGGCAGGTCTCAGCCGGATGAGCTGGATCAGAGTGGGCCATGCGGGATCGAGACATCGTAGGACGCATTTTGCCCGCGTATGTGCCAGCGCCGACACTGAACTCATCCTCCCAGGGTGCATCCTGATAACTCGTTCGCCAATTTGTAACTCGTACAACTGATGGATTGAACGGAAAATCATTGGAAACCTCCGACCGAGATATCCGATGCCTTGCTTTGTTTTCAATACGGGATACCAAGAATTGTGCACCCTGCCCCAATTCGTTCGTTGACGCTTCTGGGCCTGGAGAGGGCCACCAGAGGCCGACAACGAACAGATGCTCGACGTTTGGGTATCCCTTCTCCCTGCCTTCGGATCCGCCGTACGTTGACCGATTTGGGAAGTAGGATGGAAATGTTCGCCCGGCTTTTCAAGCTCCTCTGATGACCATGTTCGGCTCACTCTGCCGTCGCTGCGCTCCCCCACCCATGTGCCAAGAACTCCGCCCGACTTGCTGAAGCGGAAATTTCCGCCTCACCTTTTGGCATCGCTCGGGGTGCATACCCAGCACTTCTTCAAATGTCAGAAAAATCAGCCCGAGTACGGCAGATCCGAAGCCAGTGCTGAGGGCCACCGCGCGGCCTTCGCAACGGCCGCCCCCCCCCCCCCTCCCTTGAGCGCGCCGCCGGCCTGCGCCCCGGCGGGGCCCCTGGCGGACAGTAGGCCGTAGCAGCGCTGCAGGCGCTGGAAGGCGGCCACGTCAGCGCGGGGGGGGCGTCCGCTGACCACCTCAGACATGCCCGCGCCCTGGCCGCAGAACTACGACAATGGGGGTTTGGCCGCTCTCGGCCTCTGGGGGCCCTCGCCGGGCTCAGGGACCGTCAAACAACTACTCGGGATGACAAACTGGCCCTGGGAGAAGGGTACTCTGGACGGGGCAATCATCGCCCCCCCCCCCCCCCTTGGATCCGCTGGGGGGGTGGGCACGTGCTGTCGGAATGGGTGGAGGGGGGGTTGGAGGAAGAGGAGGAGGTTCAGGAGGGGGAGAATGGAGGGGGGCGGGATTGGGCAGGCTCAGTCAAAATGTTAATCATCCCCCCCTTGATGATGAACAACCCATCCAAGGTAGGGACTTCCGGGCACCGCATGTCTGGGCCTCACCGACCCCGGCCAGGCCCATCCTGGGCCCAGGGGTCGGTGTACGGCGGGCTCGCGTCGTGACGACCTCGGGGTTGGTCTCTGGCACCGCGTGGAGCGTTCCACCTTCAGCCGTCGCGCCTCTACGGTAGCGATGGCTGCTCGACATCGACTGGCTCCAGGCCGCTGGCGTCAAGCCGGGCCTGTCCCTCTACAGGGGGGATATTCAAAAATAGCAAAATCATAGTCTGGGGGGCATTTTTGATAATTTTTGAGCATCGTTTGATCATCTTCTGGATACTTTTCATTCTTCGTCCAAAATCCCCCTGCATAGGGGGACAGGCCCGACCTAACGCTGGCGGCGTTCAACCCTGAACGCCCGCGGCGGGGCCGCCGCCGCGCCGACACGGCACGGGCCTGCCGCACGTGCCTCCCTGGCCAAGCCAGACGGGCACCTGCGCCGACCCCGGGCCCGGGAGGGGGCCGGCCGGGATCGGCGAGGCACGGTCGGCCGAGTCGGCGCTGAAGTCTCGGTGGCAACCTCCTCCTCCTCCTCCTCCTCCTCCTCCATTTCTCCTCCTCCATTTCTCCTCCTCCTCCTCCTCCTCCTCCTCCTCTTCCTCCTCCTCCTCCTCCTCCTCCTCTTCCTCCTCCTCCTCCTCCTCCTCCTCCTCCTCCTCTCATGCCATCCTGCTGGCTACGTTAATCGACGCTGCTCGACGCCAATCGACGCCGGCCAGCGCCAAGTCGACGCCGACTCGGCGCTGGACTGGTGCTGTCTCGTCGGTTCTCACACGCGAGCGCGCGCCAATGCGCTCGAGAGGCGGAGTTGCGATGACACACGAGGCTCCCACGAACTGCTACAGTCGGACTCGATTGGACAGGACACGCGAGAGGGCACAAGACCCTTCCGAGGGCCGTCTTGCCACGGGAATGTGGGAAGCATGGGTCGCGAGACACAGGACACGAGGGTACCCTTGATTTGGCAGGGTCGACCTACTAATCTTGGCCGACTGTAAGTCGGGAGCGGCCAAGAGGGGGGTGTCCAAGAAGGGGGGGTGCAAATCATGACCGGCGGCATGTGCGCGGCCCAGCGGGGGGGGCCAGGGACGTAATGAAACAAGAAGAGGCGCAATGAAATCTGGGGAAATATCATGCCCCCCGCCATGATATCCACCCCCCTAGTCATCACCCCCCTCTTTTCCGCCCCCGAGTAAGGCATGGTCGGCTGACGTCTCCCACGTCGGCGCTGGAAGCGCTGGAGGCACCGGGGTCGAAGGCACGGCTCGCGTCGGAGCCGCGGCGGCCTGTCGGGTCGGGCGAAAGGGGGGGATAGCAAAGCGGGGGTTTGAGAATCAGCTCACGTAGCTGATGTTCCCGGCGCCTCCCGGCGCCGGAGGCGGCTATGTATCGAGGAATGGGCCCCTCGGTGGGGCCGAAACCAGCTGCATGCAGCAGATTTCGCACCCCCCCCTTTCCCAATCCCCCCCTTTCGTCCAGCCCGAGCCTGGCGCCGAGTCCGGGTGGAGCTCCTTGGCGAGCTCCAGGTACCTGGCCCGCAGGCTGGCCGCGTCTGCGCCCTCGGGCAGCCCGAAGAGCTCCAGGCAGGCCGCCACCTCGGTGTCGGCCACCACGCCTGGGAGGACTGCCGACCACGCGCTCCGCACCGATCCTGGCATCGGCCATGGATGCGTGAGTGCCGACCCCAGACCCCCTGCCCCCCAAAAAGCAGGACTGCCCACGCTGGGCACAAGCTGGCAACTCTCTGTTGCTGTCTTGTAAACTGGAGCCACGTCTTCACCTTCATCTACATCGCAGGGCGGGGGGGGGAATGGAAAGGAGCATGCCACTCCTTGACAAAAACCTTGCCACGATGTATGGCCGTCGCGATCGCCGCGGCGACTCCCATAACCGATCCAGAGGCTTGGCCCGGAGTCAGATGTCACACAACGAGGGCGGCCATGCCCATCCTGCAGGCCCACGCTCGGAATCGCTTTACGCCCTCCTGGCATGCCGGAAGGAGCAGCCCTATAGGGCTTGCCTGGTCACGGTCGCTGCTGGACGCCCTCCAAACGTGGTCTCCGAAGGTCTCCAGAGACCCGAGAAGATGGGCCAAACATGTCAAACAAGCAAAACCTCGAATCCAAACGTCTTTCGGCGCTGTGTTTACTTAATCCGCCGGCCCCACAGGTCTCGACCGCTTCCCCCTTGGCAATTTGTCGCCCCAGGGAAATTTTTGATGGCCGCAGGGACAAAAGAAAACCCCACGGACCATGGACGCCGAAATCGAGGAAAGACAACACCGGGATTGAAAAAAATCACGACGTCGATCGGAGGTCGAGACTACTTCCCAGCGACATGTTTCTGTTCGTCCCGGTTCGCCTTTCGACGGCAGCGAAGCCCAGCAACGGCCCCCGCGGGGCGCACATTGCGAAAGACCCTCTCAACCTCTCTGTCCGAGGCGTCGGAGGCCTGCGAACTCCGACCCGAGGGGGGGCCGGCAGGGACTCGCCGGGATCTGGACTCGCCGATGCATCGCAGATGGATTGGCGGGAGGCCCCCGCTGGCGAAACCGCAAGCTCGTGGGCGGGATGGGGCACCCAAGCCTCGATCGGCGAGATGGGTGGGCGGCTTGGTGAAGATGTCCCGCCCGCCCCGGGCGGGGCCCGCCACCACCACCACCACCACAACCCACCACCAACACCACAACCACTACCACCACCACAACCACCACGACAAACCACCACACACCCACCGCCACCGCCACCACCACCTTAACCCACCACCGCCACAACAACCACAACCACCAAAACCAGCAGAAACCATCGCACCACCACCACCAACTCCGCCACCATCACCACCACCACCACAACCTGCCACCACAACCACCACTACCACCACCACCACAACCTCAACCCACCACCACCACCACCAACCCACCACACAACCACCACCACCACAGCCACCACCACCACCACAACCGCCACCACCGCAATTCACCACCACCACCACCACAACCCACCACAACCACAACCACCACAATCACTACAACCACCACAACCACCACCAAACCACCGCAACCACCACCACAACCCACCACAACCACCACCACCACAAACCACCACCACACCACCACCAACCCACAACCACCGCCACCACCACCTTCCACCACAACCACCACCTTCCACAACAAACAACCACATCACCACCACCACATCACCACCACTACCGCCACCACCACCACACCCCACCACCACCACCACCACAACCACTACACACCACCACACCACCACCGCCACCAACCACCACCACAACCACCATCACCGCAACAAACCACAACCACCACCACCGCCACCACCGCCACCACCACCACAACAATCCATCACGACAAACCACCACACCACCACCGCCACCGCCACCACCACCTGAACCCACCACCGCCACAACTACCACCACCACCACCAGCAGAAACAACCGCACCACCACCCCCACCTCCGCAACCATCACCATCACCACTACAACCTGCCACCACAACCACCACTTACACCACAACCACAGCCTCAACGCACCGCAACCACCACCATCCCACCACGCTGCCACCACCACCACCACCACCACAGCCACCACCGCAGCCGCCACCACCACCACAACCACCACAACCACTACTCCTGACCACCACCACAAAAACCTATCACCACTACCACCACCACCAGGATCTACCACGCCACCACTACCATCGCCAACATCCACCACGCCACATGCACCACAAACCACCGCGCCAACACCACCACCGCCACCACCACCACCACGCCAACACCACCACCTCCACAAACCACCGACACCACCAAACCACCACCACACCACCACCAAACCACCACCACCACAACCCACCACCACCACCAACACAAACCACCAAGACAACCACCACCAAACCACCACCACCACCAACAACAACAACCAGCACCACAACCACCACCACCGCAACAAACCACCACCACCACGACCACCACCACCGCCACCACCATCACCACGACCCACCACCACCACAACCACCACAACCACCACCACAACCACCACGACAAACCACCACACCACCACCGCCACCGAACACACCACCTCAATCCACCACCGCCACAACTACCACCACCACCACCAGAAACCACCGCACCACAACCACCACCACCACCTTCGCCATCATCACCACCACCACGACAACCTGCCACCACAACCACCACTACCACCACCACCACAACCTCAACCTACCACCGCCACCACCAACCCACCGCACAACCACCACCACCACCACAGCCACTACCACCACCACAACCACCACAACTCACCACCACCACCACCACCACAAAAATCCCCTACCACTACCACCACCACAACCATCACCACCGCAACAAACCACCACCACCACCACCACGACCACCACCACCGCCACCACCATCACCACGACCCACCACCACCACAACCACCACAACCACCACCACAACCACCACGACAAACCACCACACCACCACCGCCACCGAAAACACCACCTCAACCCACCACCGCCACAACTACCACCACCACCACCACCAGAAACCACCGCTCCACCACCACCACCACCACCACCTTCGCCATCATCACCACCACCACGACAACCTGCCACCACAACCACCACTACCACCACCACCACAACCTCAACCTACCACCGCCACCACCAACCCACCGCACAACCACCACCACCACCACAGCCACTACCACCACCACAACCACCACAACTCACCACCACCACCACAAAAATCCCCTACCACTACCACCACCACAACCAAAATCTTCCATGCCACCATCACCACCGCCACATTCGCCACCACTACCAGCAGCACAACCCACCACCACCACAACCACAACAAACCACCACGCCAACACCACCACCGCCACCACCACCACCACCATTAACTCCACAAACCACCGCCACCACCACAACCCACCACCACCACCACAAACCACCACCACCCCACCACCAAACCACCACCACCACCACAACAACACTCCACCACCACTACAAACCACCACCACACCACTACCAAACCACCACCACCAGTACCACTACCACGACCGTCTTCCACCACAACCACCACCACCACATCAAACCACCACATCACCACCACCACATCACCACCACCACATCACCACCACCACCACAACAACCCACCACCACGACCACCACCACAAACCACCACACCACCACCACCAGCACCAGCACTCCCACCAACTACCACCACAACCACCACCACCGCAACACACCACCACAACCACCACAATCACCACCACAGCCACCACCACCACCACAACCCACCACCACCACCACAACCGCTACCACCACCACAACCACCACGACAGACCACCACACCACCGACGCCATTGCCACCACCACCTCAACCCACCACCGCCACAACTACCACCACCACCACCAGAAACCACCGCACCACCACACCACCTCCGCCACTATCACCACCACCACCACCACAACCTGCCACCACAACCACTGCAACAACCACCACCACCAACCACAACACCACCACCACCACCGCCACAACCACCACCACCGCCATCACAGAGATGCCCCAGGAGACGCCCAAGAGGCGCCCAGGAGGTTGCACAAATGCTCTTCAGAGGCCCCCGAGAGCCCTCCGACGAGACTGCAAGAGGGATCCATTAGGACTCTGACCCAAAACGAAAGCTCGGTGGCGGAGCATCGTCGTCGTCGTCATCGTCGTCCTCGTCGACGCTCCCAGCCGCCGCCGCCCGCCGCCGCAGGCGCCGGCGCCGGCCCAGAAAAGGAAGTCGTCGTCCCCGCCGCCGCCGCCAGCCGCCGCCGACGCAGGCGCCGGCCCGAGGAGAGGGAGAGAGGAGAAGTAGGGGAGGAGGGGGAATGGGGGGGCCCCCCCCCTCCGTCACGGAAGGGGGGGCCGGGGGGTGGTTCGAAACTCCACCCCCCCCTCCATCCATGGGGGGGGGGTCCGGTTCCAACCCCCCCCCCTCCACAGAACGCGCTCTTTCTGACAGCGAGTCCTCATCAAAGTGGGCAGGAGCTGCTGCTCGCCGTCGTCCCCCGCGCGACGAGAAAACAAGTGCTGCGGGGCACGGGTCCTGGCCTCTGGGGCCCGCTGCCCCGACACCGGTTAGCTCTTCACCCGGATTCGTCTCCTGTAGAGGGCAGAAGAAAATCCACCCCGATAATAACCACCCCGACACGCGGAGCCGTTTAGTAAACGCACCCACAGAAGCAATCAAACGGGGCAGGGCGGTTTTTGGTAAACGCCCAGGGCCGTTGAGTAAACGCCAATTGTCTGGTCTGGGTGGTTTTTCATCCCTTGCTTCCGACAGCCAGCGGAGCCCGTGGACGGCCTGGGGAGGCCGAGTACGGCGCAAAACCGCAGGACACGTTTCCTCCGCGGCGACGTGCCCGGACCGATCGCATCGGGTCAGGGAACCCTCGAGCTCGACCCTCCAAGCGACCCGGGGGAAGACAGGACATCTTTGCGTCGGCGGCCAGGCAGGGGCAGTCTGCGCTGGGGAAAGTGGGACAGGGCAGGCGGCCGCAGAGTGGGGGGAGGCAAGGCGCGGGCCACTCGGGGGTACAAACTTTCAAAGGTCCGCCTGGGTTTCCTGGATCTGCGCTGGACCCCCCCTGGAGGTGGCTCTGGCGCCGCCTCTGCCGCGCTCCGCGCGCTTGGAAGGGGGGCCAACGCTGATCCAAGAACTCTGCGCGAACTTCTAAAGATTTGTGTGTATGCCGTGTTCGATGCTTGTTCGACCGAACGCCTGCGGGCAAGCCCGCCGCGCCGCGCGCCGCCCGCGCCACCAGAGGCTCCCCAACTTCAGTTGGAGCAGATGGGGTCAGAGGATCGCGCCGCACCGTCGATGCATCACCGATGCATCGGCGAAGCACTAGCGGCATCGGCGGTGCATCGGCGACGTCGGCGCGGAGACAGTCGGACTCCTCATTGAAACGCATCGCCGATGCATCGGCGATGCTGCGCGATCCTTTGACCCTATCTGCCGGATGCCCCCAAACGGTGTGGTGACCAGAACGCGTTGTGAGTCTATGGAGGTTTGGGGTCACCTGTCGGTTTTGGGGCATCTGCTGTCGAGTTTGATTGGCGATCGAACACAAGACCCTCGCTGGGGCCGCACTGCCCCAAGGGATGCAGGAGGACACGGGACGCGAACACACAGGACACAAGGGCACCCTGAAATTGGAATGTTCGACCTACGAACCCGACTGTACTCCGACCCCACCTGGGAGACATAGAGCCGGGCGCCTCCCTTAGAGGAAGACAACACTGCACAAACATAAACTTCTGGAGGTCCGCGAGGATCTCTTGGGTCTGCGCTGAAAGCCCCTCCCCGGGGCGCAGACCGTCGACTGCTTGTGCTCATGCTGTCTTCTTCCGACTCATGATCTGCGAATCAAGCTCGACCGCGCTCCGACCCCACCTGGGAAGCCTAGAGCCAGGGGCATCCCTGACCCGCGCGCCGCCGCCCGCGCCGGCGGCCACATCTCGGCGCGGCCGCGCGGGGGACGCCGCGGGGCCGCGCCCGCGCCGACTGGCTGGCTGGGCCCAGACCTCCGGCGCCTCTGGAGGAGAGCTCGGCTACACGCAAGAGGAGTGGTCCAAAGTTGGGGTCCTGAGGGATGGCGTCCTCAGGATAGGAAGGGGTCCGAGGTTGACTCTGCGCTGATTGAGGCACCTCGTGCTTAGGACCCCATCCATCGGGACCCCATCTCGGAACCACCAAGAAGGGTAACCCTGGACAAGAGTGACCTGTAATACGCGGCGTGAAAGGGAAGGCCTTTTGGGGGACACCACCAAGCGCGCAAGCCGCTGCTGAGGCATCGCGCTCAGCGATCGGGGGGGACCCATTAGGACCGCACCAAGGGAGAATACCCAAGACGGCCCACTAACAAACTTCCGATACCGCCCGAGCAGGGCCCCAGAAGCCCCCAAGACGGCCCCAAGAGGGGCCTTCCAGCGAACCCGAACTGACATCCCGAGCCATCCACCCCAAGATAGGTCCTGGGGTCTGCTGGGGGTCTGTCGGCCAGTCTCTTGGGGAAACTTTGTTCGCTGGGGTCTGTCAGCCAGTCTCGTGGGGAAACTTTGTTCGGGCATGTTTTGGGCCTTTTGTGCCTCTCGGAGGCCGGTTGAAATAACTTGAGGGGGATCTGGTGGGGCCTCGGGGAGCCGTTGTGGGCGCTTCTTGGGGGCCTGTTGGTGGTTCGGGGTGCCATCTCAGAAGACTCATGCCCACTGTCCAAGCACGGCGGCGGGATGGCCCGGAAGCTACAATAAATGATCACCACTCCTACATAACAGCCGACGAGCCCTAACGCAGGGCAGCGAGATCGGTAGGGTGCCGTTTTCGAAGAGGCTGGAGGGAGGGGCTAACAAGGTCCATGCTGTCATTCGCATGTGGCATCCAGGTGCTGGTCGCGGGTGGGTCAGTGCGCCAAGCATATAGACGCAACGCAAATGAACAGTCTCGTGGCAACGGGCGTACGGCGCCCTGGAAGTAGAGCGGGCGCGGGGAGAATCCTGTTACGAGGGCTGACCTCGAAATCATACTGAGGACGCTTTTTGCGGCCGTCAAGGTGGCCAGAGGTTCAACTTCCGCTTGGACTCGAGTGCGACCAAAATCAACGTGGTCCCGTGCGGCAGGTGCCCCAGCGAGGTGCTCGTAGGGGTGGACGACGCCATCAAGATAACTGTCGGGAACCTCCTTGTCGCGCCGGTCGGAACCAGGGTGGAAGTGGACGCGCGCGGTCTCATGGACGACAGGCCGATCTTCGCGGTGAGGCCGTGCGGCCAAAGATTGCGGCAACTCGGCGCTGTTATGGAGGAGATGTTTTGTTGGCCTTTCAAATAGTTGATTTGGACCGCGCCAAAGCGCACTGGCGCAACACAGCAGCAACGCCACCAATGTCGAGGCCGAAGTGGTCCCCATCTGGGACCGGAGCCACCGTCACACTGCCCGCGAGCTCTGGCGGTATCGGGAAGCTTCGGGAGCAGCCACGCGCGAGGACCCATTCGTAAGTCTGGCAGGCCCGGATGCGACAAATGTCGGCGCGGATTTGCCTATCCAGCTCGCCGACGTGCTCAGCCCCGTGCCTGGAGCTGCGTGCGCTGCGCCGCCGCAGTTGGCGAATCGCAGGGCCCCAGTTCGCAAACCTCGGGGAGCGGAATTCCGCTGGCCATCGCTCGGACGCCCATTCCCTATGTTTTTGTTCCGGTTTCGTGCGCGGTGTGTTTTTTGCCAAATGATCAAGGATGCTCCTCGATGGTCCTCGCCGAGGGAAAAATGCACACGTCCGAGCGATGCCAAGTCCGAGGGGGAGGATGCCTGGTAGTCGACCATGAATTGTGTCTTTGTGTGTTTTCCCCTCCTGAGCAGAGGGGGGCGATGTGAGGCCCGCGCCTTCTAAGAAGCAGCCTCCTTCTAAGAAGCCTTCTAAGAGCAGGGGGAGGCGATGTTGTCGGGCGGGGGTCCGCGTCCGAACGGGAGCCCCCCTCGGAGCCCTGCAGCCCGCACCCGAACCCACAGCTCGTCTCGAACTGGGGAGGCGCTGGTTCTGGAATTGGACGGCGCGCCGCGCCTGCCGCTCTGCCGCTCGAGAGAGGGAGGAGGAGGGAGGAGGAGGAGGAGGAGGAGGAGGAAGAGAAGGAGGAGGAGGAGGAGGAGGAGGAGGAGGAGGAGGAGGAGGAGGAGGAGGGAGGAGAGAGGAGGAGGAGGAGAGGAGGAGGAGGAGGAGGAGGAGGAGGAGGAGGAGGAGAGGAGGAGGAGGAGGAGGAGGAGGAGGAGGAGGAGGAGGAGGAGGAGGAGGAGGAGGAGGGAGGGAGGGAGGAGGAGGAGGAGGAGGAGGAGGGAGGAGGAGGAGGAGGAGGAGGAGGAGAGGAGGAGGAGAGGAGGGGGAGGAGGAGGAGGAGGAGGGGAGGAGGAGGAGGAGGAGGAGGAGGAGGGAGGAGGAGGGAGGCGGAGGGAGGAGGAGGAGGAGGAGGGGGAGGAGGGGGAGGAGGAGGAGGAGGAGGAGGAGGAGGAGGAGGAGGAGGAGGAGGAGGAGGAGGAGGAGGAGGGGAGGGAGGAGGAGGAGGAGGAGGAGGAGGAGGAGGAGGGGGAGGAGGAGGAGGAGGAGGAGGAGGAGGAGGAGGGAGGAGGAGGAGGAGGAGGAGGAGGAGGAGGAGGAGGAGGCGGAGGAGGAGGAGGAGGAGGAGGAGGAGGGAGGAGGAGGAGGAGGAGGAGGAGGAGGAGGAGGAGGAGGCCCCCGCTCGCACGGGGGCCCACCCTCGGGGTCCACAGGGGACCTCGAGAAGGCTCCCGGGATCCGTGCAGCTCTATGTACCCTTTTTCACTGTGGGCCTCCCTTGTCGCGGCGTGTCGCTCCGCTCGCCGCGGGGCCGGGAGGCTGAAACGAAAGAGCTCGGGGCTAACGTGGGCAGTGGGCCGTGCCGAAGCGCGGTGGGCAGGAGCTGGCGGCGCGACACGCCATCCTCAGGTCGGGCAATGCCCTCCTGCAGGCGGAGTTCTTGGGCGAAAATGAGACATTGTCCAAACATATAGACACAGATAATCAAAAACCCGCCGGCCCTCTCCCGAGGCTGCTCCTGGTGGCCTCCTGGGGGCCTATGGAAACGACCTCGGGCCATCGGGAGGGGCTTCACGAGCGCTCAGGAGTGAGTCCCAATGACGCCCAAGAGCGCTCAGAAGTGAGTCCCAATGACGCCCAAGAGGGCTCAAAGAGGGCCTCAAGGAGGATGCGTGACTCGTCCACCCCGTAAACAGCACGCACGCACACAGAGCGCACCGATGGCAACGACGATGAAAAATCGGTCCTGGAACCATTCGTCGTTCACCAGAGTGCTGAGCGCAGAGATGGGCGGAGGCTCGCATGCGACCGCGCCCGCTGAGCCGTAGGTGAAGCTCCCTTTGGGTCACGACATGCGCGCGTGATGGGTATGCCGAAATGAGCGTGACGGCACCGATGCGAGCACCTTCACTGGGGCCGTCGGTGAAGCTCTCCGTGGGGCACGAAGCATGCGAGGGGTGCGCCAAAATGAGCGCAGCGCCAGTGTCAGCACCTCCTCTGGGGCCACAGGTGGAGCTCCCCGTGAGGTCGGGGACACGTGAGGGGCTCGACGAGATGGGGGCGGTGGAGCCATGCGAGCACCTCCTCTGGGGCCGAAAGTGAGGCTCCCTGTGGGGCACGGAGCGCGCGAGAGGTGTGCGGCAGTGGGCGCAGCGGCGCTACGCCAGCACCTCCATTGTGACCAAAAGGCCTAGCTCCCCACGGTATACGAAACGTATGGAGGGTGTGCCGAAATGGGCGTGGCAGCGCCATGCGAGCACCTCCTCTGGGGCCGATGGTGGAGCTCCCCGTGAGCACGACACGCGTGAGGGGTGTGTGTGTGCCAATATGAGACGCGGCGGTGCTGTGCCAGCACCTCCACTTGGAACTTGGGTGGAGCCCCCTGTGGGACGCGACGCGCGCGAGGGGTGTGCCGAACTGGGCGCGGCGGCATGCGATCACAACCGCACGGGCCGCAGGTAGCGCCCCCCAATCCCCGTGGGGCGCGAGACGCGTGAAAAGTGCGTTCAGACAAGTGCGGCGGCGCCCTGCGAGCAGATCCGCCGGTCTCGTGGGCGGAGCTCCCTGCGGGGCACGGACTGTGCGGGGAGGGCGCCGAGTTGCCCGCAGCGGCGGCCTGCGAGCACCTCCGCTGGGGCCGTGGGCGGAGCTCCCCGTGGGGCGCGATGCGGGCGAAGGCTGTGCGCCGAGATGGGCGCGACGGCGCCCTGCGAGCGCCTCTGCCGGGACCATAGGTCTGAGTTCCTTGCGGAGCGCCTGGGAGCGCCTGAGAGCGCCTGGGAGCGCCTGGGAGCGTGCCGGGAGCGCCTGGGAGCGCCTGGGAGCGCCTGGGAGCGCCTGGGAGCGCCTGGGAGCGCCTGGGAACGTCTGGGAGCGCCTGCCTGGGAGCGTCTGGGAGCGTGCCGGGAGCGCCTGGGAGCGCCTGGGAGCGCCTGGCACGAAGCGCGTGAGAGGTGAGCCGTACCGGGCATGCGGACGGATGGCAAGAGCAGGGAAGGAGGAGGACGAGGAGGTGGAGCGCGGCACTGCGGATTGAAAACGAGACTCCAACACAAAAGGTTAGTTGGGAAATGCATTCCGACGTATACAACGTTTCATGCTGCTCACATGCTCGGCTCGTCGGTCCCACGGCGTCCAAGACGCAAGGGGCCCCCGAGATCGCCCCGAGACGGCCCCGAACCCCCGAGAGGGGCCCAGGACGCCCCCCTAAAATCGGCTCCGAGAGGGGCCCCATTCCACCCCGGGGATGGCCACCGAGACTGCCGACGAGCCCCCAAGGAGCGCCTGAGAGGCCCCCGCGGGCCCCCGAGAAGCCCCCGGCACGAGGGCACGACAGAGGCCCCAGGAAGCTGACAACGGGCCCCGATCTGCCCCCCCAAAGGACCACCCCACAAGCGACACCCAGGAGGCCTCTCAGA